GCGTATGTGTGAATGTGAGTGCGGACACCGCAGAAACCAGCTCTGTCTCTCTCTGTCTGTCATGATAAAACATAGTGAAGATAAGATGCACTTTTTTTTAAAGGCTGGAATAATAAAAATGTATATTCTCATAATTAGGTAGTGAGTTAATTAGTCGGTCAGTTAGTTAGTTTGTTGGTCAGTTGTTATGTGTGCATAGCTTAGTTGGAAAAAAATGTTTACCGGCATGTGTATTAGTGTTTTACATGACATATATGTATATATGCTCTAAAAGATTTGACTCCAATGTCTCAGATGAATACTTTTATTCTCAAAGGTCACACACACTCATTATTAATCTTAAAGAATGACTTCTACTCATTTATTGATTCATATTAACTAAGTTAGTCAAATTCTATGCGGTAGAAGAATAAGGCATTGTCAGCTAAAAAGTTGTCGTATGTATATTCTATGTCTATCTATCTATCTATCTATCTATCTATCTATCTATCTATCTATCTATCTATCTATCTATCTATCTATCTATCTATCTATCTATCTATCTATCTATCTATCTATCTATCTATCTATCTATCTATCTATCTATCTATCTATCTATCTATCTATCTATCTATCTATCTATCTATCTATCTATCTATCTATCTATCTATCTATCTATCTATCTATCTATCTATCTATCTATCTATCTATCTATCTATCTATCTATCTATCTATCTATCTATCTATCTATCTATCTATCTATCTATCTATCTATCTATCTATCTATCTATCTATCTATCTATCTATCTATCTATCTATCTATCTATCTATCTATCTATCTATCTATCTATCCATCTATCCATCTGTCTATCTATCTAAGTAAGACAAGACTTTCCACTGCTGTCAACGCTTATGATATTCTTAATTGTAGTGGACTGGATTATGCGGTACACCTTGAAAGGGGAGCGAGAAGACAGCGATACCTTGGACTCATAATAAGACTCTGGAGGACGATTTATGTCTAGGGGGTTAACTGGTGGATGGTGACCAGCACTGGAATCCAGGATAACGGGCATTTCGTCATATTTGGGAGTCGTCCACCAGCAGGATGCACCTGCATTCCGCAGTCAGTGATGATGTTTCCACTGAGGCTCTAACCCACTGCCCATGATTTCAAACGCCAAAGCGTTATCCACTAGACCACTTGGGTCACTGCTTCTTGTGCAGCGGGTCATATTAATTATTCAGTTCAATTTTAGATTTTCCTGTCGATTGGTTGGACCGAAGTGCTCGGTCTCAAGTTGACATGTCGGCTTCCTGTGGTAATTATTATGACCCGTTGCACAAGAGGTGGTTCTCATAGCCCAAGTGCTGTATTGGATAAAGCTTTCGCGTTTGAAACTATGAGCACTGGGTCCGAGCCTCGGTGGGAACATCATCACTCACTGTGGAATGTGGGTACATCCAGCTAGTTGACGAGTCCCAAAAAGGACGAAATTCGGCGTATCCTGGTGGATTCCACTGCTAGTCAAAATCCACCAGTTAACCTCAAATTACATGCCCAGATATCGTCGAAGAATCTGTACAAGAAGCCAAAATATCAACCTGAGACTGAGCACTTCGGTCCAATCAATCGACGGGGAATTCTAAAATTAAATTATATTTATGTATAATCTGACACAAACTCAAAGACTTACAAGGAAAAACCAACAAGCTGACAGAAGAAGCAGGAAAGGACTTCAAATGAACATAGAGAAGACGGAGGTGATGAAGATAACCAAGCAACCAAGCAACCAACAACAACAAGCACCAATGACTATCAACGGAATAAATTTGAAAGAGGTCACTTTCTTCACCTATCCGACTTGGCAGTGTCGTTGCTAACTACAGAATGCAACAGCTGTGATCAAAAAGACAAGACAGACACCTTCATGCCTTTATAACATCAGTTTTGAAATTTGCACTTTTAACACCACTGTGTTAAACCAGTCGGTGCTTCTACATAGGTCAGAGACATGGCAAACACGTCAAAGAAAAGCATTTCTAATAGGCCACTGCAGACATTTTTATCAACAGACAGAAGATATTGGCATTAGAGACTCTCGGAATGAATCAGTCAGATATCTATTGCTTAAAAAAATTTTCATGAAAAATTCCCATTCGAACATTAATAAACAGAAGACCAGTAGTTCAGTGAAGAGTCTCTTTTCAACGCCGAATTCATTTTCAAAGCTGTACAATCACAAGTATATATACACGGTTGTTTTGTATGTATGTGTGTACATTAAATTTGACAAACGAAAATACAATTTGAAAGTTCAGATGAATCGGATATTGATATAAGAGAGTAGTAACAAAAGTGATGAGTTGTCATAAACGATTGTTAACGAAGAGTTACGTAATAACAACATGAATAGTTTGATGAAAGAGTTGTGCTCAGGGTGTACAAAGAAAAGATCGCGCATCTGACCACTTCAATGTGTATATATCAGTTCATCTGTTTCTGTGGAGCCAGGCACATCGGTCGTTCGACGTGCATCCTGTCAAGAAGGGTCAAAGAACACTATCTCATAGCATGGCTACAGAAAGGAAGTGGCCATATAAGGAGTGCAATAATCGAACACCTCATCACCACTGGTCCTTCCATCTCAACAAACGCCTCCTGCTTCAAATTAATCTACAAAGTGAAGAGCAACCTGTCAAAGACAATATGTTTCCGTCTTCTTTGCATTGCAGAAGCCCTAGCCATTCAGTTGAAAGAACCAAACCTATGCATAAAAAAGAAAATTATTCAACCACTTCTACTATCATGGTAACAACTCTGTTGATTTGACTTAACTTTCGCTTGTATGCTCATTTTTCTAACTACTCAAAACTCTTGCGCAATTTCGTATGTTATTTTGTTTCCATGTACACCCTGAGCACAATGCTTCATCAAACTATCCACGTTGCTATTACGTAACTCTTCGTTAACAATCGTTTATGACAACTCATCACTTTTGTTACTACTCTCTTATATCAACATCCAATTCATCTGAACTTACTAATTGTATTTATGTTTGTGAAATTTAATGTACACACATACATACAAAACAACCATATATATTTACGATTGTACAGCTATGAGAATGAATTCTCCGAAAGAGACTCTTCGCTGAACTACTGGTATTCTGTCTAAAGAAATATTCCCGAAGAAAATGAAGATGAATTGGAAACATACTGAGGAGATCCTAGAGTGGAACCCGAGGGAAGAACGACGAGATGACCGTGGTTTTGAGGGTGACATCGAAGGGAGAGAAAGTAGGCAGTCGTAGGGTAAGCTGTCCAGGAAACTGCAGAGAACGGGAGAAGATAGAGTTATGCTGTCAAAGCCCTTTACTCCACACTCGGAACACAAGGGAATAATATTGAGTTCACTATGAATATCATTCTTAAGGTTATTCAAACCTCTCTAGGTCACTTAGATAATTTTTCACAGCATTATATACTTCAATTAGTCCAAAACTAGCAATAGAAACTGTGCAACAATTACTCTATAGTGATGAAAACACAAAAACGCAATTATCAACTTGGATAGAACTCATAAAATTATGCCTTACAACATACTTCCAGTTCAATACTCAAATATATGAACAAATAAAAGGAACACCAATGGGATCGCCCATATCAGGATTAATAGCTGAAGCCGTTATGCAAAGATTGGAATTAATAGCTCTACCTATCACTAAACCGAAAATCGGGGTACGTTACGTTGATGATACATTTGTAATAATTAAGAGAAGTGATTTAGAATATACTCATAAATTAATAAACAACATATTTGAAGACATCAAATTGACAAGAGAAGAAGAATTAGATAACAAAATCCCATTTTTAGATGTCTTAATCAGGAGAACCAACACAGGAGATTAAGAGACACAAGTTTATGGAAAATCAACGCACACAGATCAAATACTCAACTATAATAGCAATAATCCAGTTACTCACAAACGAAACTGTGTGCAGACATTGTTTAAAAGAGTTCAGACACATTGTAGCACTCCAGAGCTGAAAAGAATGGAAGAAAAGTACTTACAAACGGTCTTCAAAAAGAATGGTTATCCAAAAAATTTCATCAAAAAGTGTTCAAAGTCGAATCAAAACACCAACAAGAAACCATCATCTAAGACCACAAGAAAATTCATTCTACCATGCATGAGGAATATCTCTGAAATAACAGCCAGAATACTGAAACCGTTTGTTATAGATACAGCACACAAGCCAGTCAAATCGCTTAATTCGATATTATGCAAACCAAAAGATCCAACAGAAAAAGGGGATAAAATTAATACCATCTACAAAATAAATTGTATGAACTGTAACAAGCATTACATCTGCCAAAGTGGGCGTCCCCTTCGAATCAGAATCCAAGAACATAAATCAGCCGTGAAAAGACATGATATGTATTCTTTAGTATCAATGCATGCAGACAACTATGGTCATCAGTTTGATTGGGATCATGTCAAAATCTTAAACAGAGGAAACACGAAAAGTGCCAGAGAATTCCTAGAAGCCTGGTACTCAAGCGAAAATGCGATTAAAAAACACGTTAATATAGATGAAATATACCAATTAATAAAAAGTAAATCAGGTGACCAGAAAGTTTGAACTCCAAGTCAATAGAAAGTGGTCAATACATATGTGAAGGTAGTAACCAGGAGACGCAATTACATCACGCATGAAGAAATTTAAATCATTCCACTTTGTGCTAAATATGGCGCTGAAGATGTTGTCCGGAAGGACGACGAAAGCTTCGCAACTAAACCAACCAGCTCAGAGAACGCCTTTAATTTTTAATCTTCTCTATTATTTCAATTTGTAAATAACATATTTAGAATACAGTGAATGAACACATTTCATATTAAATACATGAAAGTCATTGGATCCAACGAAATATTAACCACTTGACTGTGTGAATAAACCAACAAATAAACAAATAAATAAATAAATAGATAAAGTTTATATCCTCATAAAAAACTTACCCTGAATTTTTTCTCGCTGTTCATTTTGTTTCCTATTCATCCAGATAAAAAGGGATGACCAGAATTCATTAAAATTTGTACTTTTCATCAGAGAATTCCTTGTTGTATCAACATTTTCATTTTCACTATTGGAATTATTCCTCAATGATAAGACGACATCATTACACGGCAACTGTAATGGATTACGTAAATCTAAAGGTTTATCATTATTATTATTATTATGACACTCTGAAGAGGAGTATACACTGAACTGTGAGGCATCACCTATTGACGTAGATAACTTCTGTAATTGTCTTTTAATATTCTCATGTATCAAGCCCTGATTATTATTATTATTACTGTATTTATAGAATAGTCTGTTATAATCGTCAGGAGACATCACCAGTGTCTGTTTCGCTGACGACGAGGATGCCTGTCCATCATCATACGTTTTCTTAAGTAAATTTTTGAAGTCATCCCTATGGTCATTACTACTTGTTTCACCGTTATCAGTAGTAGTCTTTTTATAACTGGTAGAATTATTCACGCGGAAAGATGCGTCGATTTCGTGAAAAATAGCACTGTTGATTTTGTCTGCTTTCATTTTACGCTGAAGGCTATCGCCAGGTTTACTTCCTTTCTGATTCGACGGATACTCATCTGAATATAGACTTTCTGTTTGTTTTCTTGGTGCCATCTTCTTTGGAGTATTCTTTTTGTTGTTGAAATTGGATGAATTTGGATCAGGCAGCTGATTCTTGAACAGTTTCAATCGTAAATCCACATGACTGGCGGCATTCGATCTTTTCATACGTTTTGATGAATGTTGTTGTATGGAGGTTTTAGATTTTATCGTTCCGAAGGTATAGATACGTTTACGCTGACTGTTTAACTGTGATTTAGAAAAGTTTGAGCAAAATGAAATAGGTTGTGGATGGTGACAATGTTGGTTGAGTATGTCCAGTGTGCATTTGTCGACACTGTTATTGCACAGTTCAGTAGGTTTGTTATTTTTAATTTTATTTGTACAAGAGATTTGTTTTATTACTTCTGGTTTAGTGTACTTATAGTCGCGTATGTGGTTTAAAGGATTATGAAATACAGAAGCAAGAGGATAGACTTGATTTTGAAGATTTTTTGTTGAATAACTTCCGTGTAATTCTTGTCTAGGTACTTGATGCTGTGATGATAAAGATAGCGAAGTAGGATGTGATGGCAGGTCATCAGATATATTTGTGACGATTTCAGCATTTCCACTAGGATTGATATCAGTATGGTGATTCTGAAATTGTAAAGATATACAAAGTTATATATACATAAAGTTTTGACAATGAATAAGTGTAAAGATAAGTTCTAATACTGTCAGAAATCGATCGTTGGATTAATGACTTTTAACTAGTGTTTCTAATTTTTTAATATATTTGTGAGTTGGAGTTTCGGAAGCAATTTGGTTAAATTTTGGGGGTGGAGTTGCTAGCACCACGCCCCAACCCTCCCTCTTTATCCGGGCTTGGGACCTGCTAGAAAACTAGCGAGCTAGTAATCTAGGCTTCTGAAAGCTGGAAAAACAGCTGGACCAGATGGAATACCCCCTGAAGCACTGAAAGCGGACCCAGAGATGTCAGCAGATATGCTGACTCCATTATTGCAAAAAGTCTGGAAAGAGGGAAAGGTGTCTACTGACTGGAGGCAATGGTTACCTTGTGAAACTACCAAAGAAGGGCGACTTAGGACTCTGCAAGAACTGGCGAGGAATCATGCTCCTGTCGACGCCAAGTAAAATCCTGAGTCGCATCATCCTGGAGAGAATAAAGGATGCACTGGATACAGAATTCCGACCAGAACAAGCTAGATTCAAGAAAGGCAAATCATGTTCTGACCAAATTGCAACTCTACGCATCATCATTGAACGAAGCTTGGAATGGCAATCCAACCTCTACCTCAACTTTATAGAATCTGAGAAGGCAGCGTTGACCGCGAAGTAATTTGGAAAATACTCGAGTACTACGGCGAACTCCAAATATTCATCAACCTTATTCAACAGCTACACGACAATGGCACATGTCAAGTGATCCACAACGGAAAACTCAGCGAAGCGTTTGGAGTAAACACAGGAGTCAGACAAGGGTGCTTATTATAACCAATGATATTCCTAATTGTGGTGGACTGGATTATGCATCAGACAGTGGGAAACGAGAAGACAGGGATATCCTGGACCGACGTGAAGAACCTAGAAGACCTGGATTTCGCAGATGATTTATGTTTGATGTCACACAAAATCGAAGACTTACAAGCGAAAACCGACAAACTGGTCGAAGAAGCAGCCAGAGAAGACAGGACTGCAGGTGAACATAGACAAGACGGAGGTTATGAAAATAACCAACCAACAACAACAACAACAGCAGCAACATCCAGCGCCAATCACCATCAACGGGAGGGATGTGAAAGAGGTTACTTCATTCACTTATCTAGGGAGCATTGTCTCAACTACAGGCAGGTGGAACGGACGAGGATGTCAAATCGAGAATCGGGAAGGCGAGAAACACATTCATCATCAACCTGAAACCAATCTGGAAATCTTCGTCACTCAACTCAGCATCAACAACAAAATTCGGATTTTCAATACAAACGTCAAGTGAGTCAGTTCTTCTATACGGATCAGAAACTTGGCCAGTGTGTCACAAAGAATATTTCCAACAGCCTGTTGCAGACCTTTACCAACAACAGCTGTCTTCGCTCTATACTGAAGATAAGATGGCCGCCGAAAAGAATCACCAACAAGAAACTAAGGGAACAAACAAACGAAACAAGAAGCAATCGCTCAACAAATATGCAGGAGAAAGTGGAGATGGATTGGACACTCGCTGAGGAGGCCGTTGGGTAACGTCGCGCGTCAGGCCAGTGCTCGAGTGGAATCCGAAAGGGAAACGGCGAGTGGGACGTCAGTGCAAGGGTGACATGGAGGAGACCGTGTGAAGAGGAGTTGAAACAGTATGGATTAACATGGATGCAAGTGAAAAGTACAGCTCAAGACAGAAGCAAGTAGAGGCGTGCAGTTGAAGCCCTATGTTCCACTAGGAACCCAAGGGAACAATAATAATAATAAAACTAGTGTCTTATGCGGAGGTTAAAATAAGACACTTCTAATGGATTTCTTGAAGTTATTAAGAGTTGAGTCATTTTCTAATCTTAAGTACTCATAATCAAGTACATAATCTTCTGGAAAGCATTAATTACTCAGTTTCTTACATTATTTTGTTTCTTGTTTGTCTGCTGAAAGTCGTCAAGGAGTTGAAGACAGCTCTTCTATCCGCCCAAGTTTGGGACTCCTCAGCGCTAGTCACACACCGAGGAGGTTCGAACCCATTACCTTCCGGTTATAAGACAAGTTCATGGACTATTCAGTCACAATCATCAACGGTCAACCCATGAATTCTAAATTCTACGAATTTGTGATTTTAGCGCCATCACTGTCAGCTAATGTCATCACCATCAAAAATAAGTTCCGGATTTTCAACTCCAATGTGAATTCAGTGCTACTATACTGATGGATCAGAGACTTGGCCAGTGCGTCATAAAGAGCATCTCAAACAAACTACAGACCTTCACCAACAGTTGTCTTCGCTCAGTACTTTGCTCAAGATCAGATGGCTAGAAAAGATCAGCAACAGGGATCTCTGGGAGCGAACCAACCTAGCACGAACCGATTGTGAAACAAATAGTCAGGAAGAAATGGAGTTAGGTGGATTGGCCATACTCTGAGGAAACCATCAAGTGACATCACTAGACAAGTCATTGCTCGAGTGGAACCCGAAAGGGAAGCGGCGAGTTGGTCGTCAGTGTGAGGGTGACTTGGAGGAGGTCATGTGAAGATGAGATGAAAGCATGTGGGCAGACTTGGAGCCAGGTGAAAACTTTAGCGTAGAACCGAACGCAATGGAGACGCACGGCTGAAGCCCTATGTTCCTCTAGGAATTAAAGGAAACAATAATAATAATAATGTCATCAACGCTACAAACTAACTCTTGAATATTAATCTGGTGCTTGCTAGTGACTACCGGCTACACGAAGAAGTTGACTGGAGTGACCTCTAGTGAGAACTTCTGACCATTGGGGTCTATCCGGTCAAGATTGAGGATAGATACTCACCGGTGATGACACTGACTGGCAGTGGTCGCCTTAAACTCACCACCAATTGGTAAAAGTTAGAATTCATGTGTTGGCCAATGAGGAGTCAGGTCCTAGTGAGTGAATAAGAGGGTCGTGAGTTCGAACCCAGGCGGCTGGTGGGTGCTTACAATGACTGCCAAACTAAGGTGGAGGAGACAGATGTCCAGTACTCTCTGATGAATTTCAATGTTAGTCTAACTGATATCTACCTGTGGTGAAACTTGAAAAAAATCAAAAATTTAGAACTCCGCACTTAATTACTTTAAGAAGTGACATTAGTCCGAAAAGCATCAGGAACCAGGGATATCTGTTTATCTTCTGAGAATCTAAGAATCTTTAGAACTAAGCACTTATGATTTATTTTAAGATCGAGGTTAACCACTTCAGATTAAGGGGGTAATAATCTTATCATTCGGGCACTGGCTTGAAATTCTACCCATTCGTGACCAAACACCACTACCATTCAGTGTTTTCTGGGGGGATCTATTAACACGATGTATAAACAGTTATGTATCGATCATATCTCATGCTCATATTTATGGAATATTCAATAAATTTACCCCTTTGTGAATATGGATATTGAAAACCATACTTGGATTACTGTAAGAAGCTCTGTGGAGTCAAAAACTCCAAGAGGGTGAAAAACGTCAAAACATTCACAGTCTGAGCTGTAAGTATCTGCGCACCACCTTATCAACTTGAAATGTCGTATTATTACACACAAACTCCTATTTAAATTAATTACGCTATGTATTAGTACAAGGGCAGAAAATGAACAGCGGTAGATGACAGTTAAATAATCATTAGAAAAGAAAATAATTGAGCAAAGAATATCCTTTTCGATAAATTCCTCTTCCCACTCTACAATTATACACATATGTTTATATAAATAGAATATTCTAGAATAGTAGTCAATAACAGTATCAGTGTTTTTTTCAAAATACTATCGATCTGTTAAGTAAGATCAGCGTCGGTGGCATAGTGGTTAAAGCGCTCGCCGACCATGCACATGGTCCGGGGTTCGATCCCCTGCCGACGCACTCCTTTACCTCGTTAAGCCAGAAATAACGCTGGTGAAGAGGAAAGGTTGGGCATGAGGCTAGCAACCCCATCCTGTAAAATAAGCACTGCTACAGAAACTTCAAGCCGCTAGCTTGGAGCCCTATGTTCCACTGGGGAACGTGAAGGAAATTAAAAAAAGTAAGATCAACGGAATTACAGTTCATTAGAGATGCTTAAATAATAATAATAAAAATATAGTAGCAAATAAAATCTCAACTAAAATTAGTGAAATTCCACAAAAATTGAGGATCATTCGAACCTACATGGCCAAGTGGGTAAGGACAATGTCTAAACCGACCAGCTTCTTTTGGACACATCAATTAAGCTTCTCAATGTGGATCCCAGCAGCCAGCCTCAGCAATATTTAGTAAACGAACTGTTAAGGTAAAGTTAAGATTTGTTGGTATGCGGTAAATGACTTTGAAAGTCACCTCGTTGACATCAGTCTTGTGCTCTGTATCCACAAGATGAGATAGAATAGAGCTATGAATAGATTTTGTTTCTCCTTTACTTAACCAACGACTCAGGGTGTGATGTTCGGGAATCCGACTAGAAACATGCCTAATTGTACGGCCTAGGTAACTGACTGGCTTCACGGGAGCAGTCAAATTAGTAGATACACACACACACATAGAAGAGGCGAAATTAGACAGTTTATCTTCTACTTCCGAACGCCTCAGGAGGAAAGTTTGAAATCCATATGATTAAAACAGTTATGAGTAGTGAATTGTATTCAACATGCTTAAACTATAACACTGTATAATGTATCAAGTTGATGATTCTGTGATAGAATATTCGCCAGCCATACGTGAGGTCGGGGTGTGATTCCTGCTGGACGTACTTCTACATTTCGCCTAGTTTACAATTCGGTGGTAAGTCTGGAATACAGAACAGTTTGAGTGTAAAAGCCAGCCCCGACGGTACTAGAACTTTAAAGCCTGAAGCCTTAGATTCCACACGGAAAGCAAAAATACTATTATGGATAAACAAACAGAAGGCGTAGCACTGGGATCACCAATAACCCCTATCATAGAAGATACCCTTATGAAC